CTCACCTCACATCACCCAGACCCTGTACTCCTTACCTTGACTAGCCCTTTCTTTTGTCCAAGTGATCCCATCCCATCCCATCTTCTCCAAGAGATTGTCCTTTCTGCCATCCCTACTCTCTCACTTATGCCCTGTCTCTTGGCTCCTTCCCATCCATGTCTCCCCCATTCTCAAAAAATTCTCAATTGATCTGTCTCTGCTAATTAACATCCTATTTCTCTTCTACCCTTTGTGTCCAAATTCCACGAAAAAGCCATCTACAAAAGGTGCCTCCACATTGTCTTCTCACACTCTTCCTAGCACCTTACAATCTGGCTTCCTATCTTATCATTCCACCAATATACTCTGTCCAAAGTTAGCTGAATCCAGTGACCTTTTCTTATCCTCATTCTCTTTGACCTCTCTGTGGCCTTTGACACTGTTGATCACTCTCTCCTCCTTGATCATAGTCTCTTCTTTCTAGGTTTTCAGGACACCCTCTCTCCTGGCCCTCCTCTTACCCATCTGACCGCTCCTCCCCTGTCTCCTTTGCTGGATCCCCCTCCAGATCACACCCTGTAACTGTAGGTGACCCACAGGGTTCTGACCTGGGCCCTCTTCTCTTCTCTCTCTATACTGCTTCACTTAGTGTTATCATCAGCTCCCATGGACTTAATTATCATCTCTATGCTGATGATTCTCTTTTTTTTTTTTAATTTAAATTTTAATTTTTTTAATGTTTTTTTCCATATGCTTTTGAGTTGAAAATTTTTCTCCCTTTTCCTCCCTCCCACCCTCCCCAAGACTGCGCACAATCTGACATAGGCTTTACATTTACATACCCATTAAACATATTTTCACATTAGTGAAGTTGTAAGTAAAAATTAAAACCAATAGGAGGAACCATCAGAAAGATGAAACAAAACTCAACAGAAGGTAAAAATAAGTGATAGCGATTAGACTTCCATAGTTCTTTCTTTGGATGTGGACAGCATTTTTTATCCCGAGGCCTCTGGAGATGTCTTAGATCCTCATAATGCTGAGAAGAGTTCAGTTTAACGTTCTTAGTCATTGTATAACATGGCTGTTATTGTGTACAAAGTCCTCTTGGTTCTGCTCACTTCACTCAGCATCAGACCATATGTCTTTCCAGGTTTTTCTGAAGTCATATGCTGATGATTCTCAAATCTACCTATCCTGCCCCAACCTCTCTGCTGACCTCCAGTCTTGCATCTCTTTTGCAACTGCCTTCCAGAAATCTGTAACTGGATGTCCAGTAGACATCTTAAATTCAGTATGTCCCAAACAGAACTCATCTTCTTTCCCCCTAAACCTCCCACTCATACCTTCCCTATTACAATGCAGGGCAACACCAGTGGCCTCAGACTCACAATCTAGGAGTCATCCTGGACTCCTCACTATCTCTTACCACCCCCCTTATCTGATCTATTGCAAAGCCTGCTGATTTCACCATTTCAACATCTCTCTCTTTTTTTTTTAGGCACTTGGGGTTAAGTGACTTGCGTAGGGTCACACAGCTAGTGTCAAGTGTTTGGTCTGAAGCTGGATTTGAACTCAGATCCTCCTGACTTCAGGGCCGACACTCTTATCCTCTGTGCTACCTAGCTTCCCCTTCAAAGTTTCTTGAATATATCCCCTTCTCTCCCCTGACATGGCTACTATTCTAGTGCAGGCCCTGAAGCCCTTGATGTGGGCACCTAGATTACTGCAGTAACTATTGATGCGCCTGCCTGCATTATTAAACCTCTGCCCATTCCAGTCTGTCCTCCATTCAGCCACCAAAGTGCTTTTCCTAAAACGTAGGTCTTATCATGTCACCAACCCCCTTACTCTGTAAACCCCAGTGGCTCCCTATTGCCTCCGGGGTCAAACACAAAATCCTCTGTGTTCAGAGTATATAACTCAGCCCCCTCTTACCTTTCCAGTCTTCTTACACTTTGCTCCTCTTGAAGTACTCCAGTGACAGTGGCCTCCTGGATGTTCTGTAAAGAAGACACTTCATCTCTCTGCTCCATTATTTTCGCTGGTTGCCTCCCTCCTCATCTCTGCCTACAGATCTGCCTGGCTTCCTTCAAGTCCCAACTAAAATCCCATCTTTTACTGGAAACCTTTCTCAACCACTCTTTTTTTTTGTTTGTTTTGTTTTGTTTTTGTTAGGCAATGGGGTTAAGTGACTTGCCCAGGGTCACACAGCTAGTAAGTGTTATGTATCTGAAGCCGCATTTGAACTCAGGTCCTCCTGAATCCAGGGCCAGTGCTCTATCTACTGCGCCACCTGGCTGCCCCCTCAACCACTCTTAATTCTGATGGCCTTCCCTCTGTTAATTATTTCCCATTTCTCCTGACTATAGCTTGCTTTGTCTATATTTGTTTGCCTGTTGTCCCCCATTTAACTGTGAGCTCCTTGAGGGCAGGGACTGTCTTTTGCCTCTTTTGTGTCCCCAGCCTTAGGCACAGTGCCTGGCACATAGTAGGCACTCAACCCATTTTTATTGATTTGATTGATAACATGTCAGCCCCCTGAATAGGGATGACCTAATTCTTTTATTCAGATCCCCAACCCTAGCCCAATGCCTGGTACATGGTAGCGTTGAGTTGTTTCAGTCATGTCCAACTCTCTGTGACCCCATTTGGGGTTTTCTTGGTAGAGATACTGGAGTGGTTTGCCATTTCCTTCTCCAGCTCATTTTACAGATGAGGAAACTGAGGCAAACAGGGTTAAGTGACTTGCCCAGGGTCACACAGCTGGTAAGTGTCTGAGGCCAGATTTGAACTCAAGTTTTCCTGATTGTGGCTGATGATGCTCTATCCACTTAGCTGCCCTAAGTCATGGCACATAGTAGGTGCTTAATAAATACTTGTGACGATTGCTCTATATTCATATAGCCTCCCAAAGGAGAGAACTAAAGGACCAAGATTCCAAGGTGACACATGAACCAGGGCTTGCAGTCCCAGTGGAGGAAGGGAAAGAAAGCTGCTCTTAAGGTAATCGCCTGAGGCCCTTTGACCTGTCCATTGTTCCATTGGGGTTAACTTTATTTATTTATTAATAATAATTAACTAATTTTCAGTTTTCAATATTCACTTCCATAAGATTTTGAGTTTTTAATTTTCTCCCCCTTCCTCGCCTTCCTCCTTCCCAAGATGGCATGCAATCTAACATAGGCTCTACTTATGCATCCATATTAAACATATTTTCACATTAGTCGTGATGTAAAGAAGCATTAGAACTAATGGGAGGAACCATGAGAGAGAAAAAACAAAACAACAAAAGAAAAGGAGAGCAAATAGTCTGCGTTCATCTGCATTCAGATTCCAATGTTCTTTCTCTGGCTGTGGATAGCATTTTCCATTGTGAGTCTTTTGGAGTTGTCTTAGATCCATGCATTGCTGAGAAGAGCTAAGTCTGTCAAAGTCAGTCATTTCACGGCGTGGCTGTTATTGTGTGCAGTGTTCTCCTGGTTCTGCTCATTTTACTCAGCATCAGTTCATGTAAGTCTTTCTAGGTTTTTCTGAAGTCTGCTGCTCATGATTTCTTATGGAACAATAGTATTCCATTACATTCATATACCACAACCTGCTCAGCCATTCCCCAATTGATGGGCATCCCCTCAACTTCTAATTCTTTGCCAATACAAAAGGCTGCTATAAATATTTTTGTGCGTGTGGGTCCTTTCCCCATTTTTACAATCCCTTTGTGATATGGACCTAGAAGTGATATTGCTGGATCCAAGGGTATTCATAGTTTTATAGCCCTTTGGGCATAGTTCCAAGTTGCTCTGTAGCATGGTTGGATCAGCTCCCAATTCCACATTGGAGATCACTTTAAAGAAACCCCTCCCCTGTGGTGTGGAGCAAGGGCCTGGCCTAGAGTGAAAGTCCTGCTTGAAAGAAAGAACTGGGAATAGAAGGACCCAGCCCACTTGAAAATGTGAACCTGTCTAGAAGAGCCAACTAGTTCTCACCAAGCTTCTACTTGATAGCCCACACAACAGCCATGTTTTTGTCCCTAGCATCTCCAGACTTTGTTGGTGAATTACATTGTAATAATTGTACCAAGTCCCAGTATATTACAAAGGCCCCTAAGTAAGATCCAGGACCACTCAAAAGAAATCAAGTAGATGAAAATTATTATTGTGCATCTTGGCCAACCACTGCAGTATCTCTGCTAGTGGCGCTAGGCAGATGGTGAGATGGACTGGGTGGATGGCTTGGTAGTAGATGATAGGATGTGAAACTGACACTAATGAGAACATTAAGCAACTGAATAATAATGGTTAGCTTTCATATAGTGTTTTAATGTTTATAAAGAACTTTACATGTGTTATTTCACTTGATACAACAATGTAGATACTATTATCTCCATGTTACAGATGAAGAAGCTGAGGCTTAGAGAGGGTAAGTGACTTACTCAAGGTCACACAGCTAGTGAGTATCTGAGGCAGGATCTGAATTCAGGACTTCTTAATTTTAAATCTATTACTGTATCAACTGCACTGCCCTTTCTTTGTATGGCACCACCATCTGGGTTGTCCAGCCATTAGGTGTCAGTTCTTCCTGATTTGGAGGCCACCAAGCTAGCCACTACACCCTGCTGTCTGTCTCTCCTTATTCTTGCTATTTATCTTTACCAATTTGAGTACAGCTGTTTGTAGCTAGTGTTGCTTCTTTTACCCCTGTTTATAAAGATGTGGAGCTTTAAATCTATTAGGATCCATTTTAAGTTTAGAACCAAAGAATTTTAGAGATAGAAAGAGACCTTCAAGATCTGACTGCCTCACTATACAGAAGGGGCAACCGAGGCAGGGAAAAGTGACCAGGTTTTCCCAAGTTCACACAGCTGCCTCACAACAGAGTTGGGATAGGACGCCAGAGCTCCTGCCTCTTTGTCCAATGTTCTTTCCACTTAACTTTTCCTGAATAATTTTTTTAAAAATGACAATTGATGAACGAAATGATGAACTAAAATCCAGCTGCAGTGAGATCCCACATCTGGGCACAGAAGGTGCCGACTTCCTGAGGATGCCCCAAAAGAGGCTGGCTCTTTAACAACAGGGTTTGCGGGGCCTCCCAGTTCCTGGGTGCTCTGAGCTGTTTGGCTCCCAGGACTGTCCATCTGAATGAAGTCACGGTTGATCAGGTTGCCTGGACTGGAAGGGCAAGCTCCAGGTGTTCCGAGAGGGGAGGAGGAAGTTGGGAGGTTTCTTGCTGCTTTGGTCATTTTATGCAAAGAGCCTGCAGCTGCAGCAATGCAGCCTCCTGAGGCTGGCCGACCTGTTATCCAGTTCCGCCACTGTGGAAGGGATATCTACTGCTTCAGGGTGCCTGACCTTTGCCCCGTGTGCCAGCAGCCCGTGAGCTTCAGGAAGCTGGACGAGGCACCTGTCAGCATTGCTACCCCGTTGATCCATGGGCACCAAGAGCAGTGTGTCTTCCTGCTCAGGCCAACCCGAGGGACCTTCCTTAGGTACAGTCATTTCCAGAGGTGCTTGGGTTTTCTATGATTTTCCTCTTCACTTCCTTACTTAAAAAAAGGGACAGTCTTTTTTGTTTTCCTCTCATAATGTTGGATGTTGCTTCCTCCTTCTATTGTGATGCGTGCTTTAAATTTCTTTGCACAAAAATAAATAATATTTTTGGCATTAAATAATGTTATTAAATAACATTTTGGACTAGAAAAAGGAGTTCCAAGTGAGGAAATGCAGGTTGGTGCCTTCTCTGTGCCTTATAATTCTTTTTCATTTTTAATATTTTTTTCCAATTATGTTTAAAAACAATTTTTTTTTTACTTTTTAGTGAGGTGATTGGGGTTAAGTGACCTGCCCACGGTCACACAGCTAGTAAGTGTTAAGTGTCTGAGGCTGGATTTGAACTCAAGTCCTCTTGACTCAAAGGCCAGTCACTGCACCACCTAGCTGCCCCTAAAAACAATTTTTAACATTTGTTTTTAAATTTTTAAATTCTCTCCTTCTCTTCCTTTCCTCCTCCCTCATTGAGGGAGCAAGCCATTTGAGATATGTACCTCGTAATCTTGAAGAGTTGCCAGGCCTACTGACCAAGTGACTTGCTGAGGGTCATGTAGCCAGTATGTGTCAGAGGTGTGAACTGAACCTAGTTCTTTCTGATTCTGATGCCTATCCTCTATTCATTCCACCAAGATGCCTCTTTCCTAGTGCTTAGCACAGTGCCTTTAACCCCAGCTTACTCTGTCTCTCCTTGATTGGCCAACAATAGGTCCCAGGCCAAGCCCCACTTGGTCATTGTTTGGGCTCTGATTGGCTCAGAATGAATGTAAATAACAATTGTTTCTATTTTGACCAGAAACCCTGAGGGTCCTTCCCCTCCCAGATCTATTTTTTTTTTCAAAGAGGCCATTTTTTGCCTCATTTTTTATTAAGCTTTAATCACTGAATGGGTGCTGCCTCAGTCAAACAGATCTGTTAAAGACCTTAGCTTGAAAAGGCCAAGGTCCCCCACTGCATCTGCAGTCGTCCTGATCCATATCTGGCCATGAGACTCAGATGGCTCTGGAGGAGAAAGCGAGGCTGGTGACTTTGCACAGCCCTCCCTCACTTAAATCTAGTTCACCTGCATGTCATGTCATGGCATCCCCTCCCTGATGTCAGGACAAACAGCAGCAGCAGCAGCAGACACATAGTAGGTGCTTAATGAATGCTTATTGATTGATTCATCCTAGCTCTCATTTATATGGCACTTTTACAGTTTTTGAAGTGTTTCACTCACACTGTCCTATTTGAGCTTCACCATATCCCCAAGAGATGGGTGGTCCTGATAGGATCCCATTTTGCACATGGGGAAACAGAGGCTCAGAAAGAAAGGTTAAGTAAACATGGTAAAGTGGGAAGACCCCTGGCTTTGGAATCAGAAGATTTGGGGTCAGATCTCATCCCTGATGCAGATTCCCTGGGCAAATCACTTCATGGGCCTGGACTTGTTTCCTTATTTATAAAAGGAGGCAGTCAGACTTAGCTTGTAACATGGTACAGCTCTCTATTTATGGTCCTATCTGAAAGGGGCCCCAGAGCTAACAGGCATCACAGGGACGGATTTGAACTCCTGACTCCAGCGTCAGTGCTCCTTATCAGGCCCTTGCCTCTCTCTGGCTGGCAAACACATGCACAGCGCCCATTGACTGGCTGGTCAGGAACAGGCATATTTGAAGGCAAATGTTTGAAGATAAGTGTGTAGGCTGGTCTCCCACACTGAAATTTTATTCCAGTCATTGGGCAGATTGAGGCAGCTTCAGCTTGAGGCTGATAGAAAAAATCCCCAGCTCTGGCATTTCTTAGCCATAAGCCCTTGGGCTTCCCCAGCTGCCATCTTCCCCTTTGTTGAACAGGAACAAGGAGGCTTGAACTGCCTTCCTCACAGGAAGGCATTTTTCATCTCACATATCAGCCCCTGCAGAAGGGGGTACATCTAGCCTCGTTATGAGTCTAACGTGAATCTGTTGCCAGTAGCTTTGAAGGTTGACTTCCAGCAACGGCCCAACGTGTAGAAATGTATCCCATCATTCTCATTGCCAGCTTTCTTACAAGTGTGACTTCATTTGCCTCTCTGTAGATTCTGATGAAGCCTAATAATAATAATAATAATAATAATAATTAAATAGCTAACATTTGTGTGGCGCTTTCATGTTTGCAAAGCATTTTACATATGCTGTCCCAGTTGATCTTTACAACAACTCTGTAAGGTAGGAGCTATAATAATTTCCATTTTACAGATGGGGACACTGAGCCTAGGAGAGGCTGAGTGACTTATACACAGCTAGTTAGTGACGGTGTCAGGATTAGAACTCAGGTTTGCTAGCTTTGTAACCATGGTTATCACTTAACCTCAGTTTCCTCATCTGCAATATGGGGTTGGTAGTACCTCCCTCACAACATTGTTGTAAGGCTCACATGAGATAAAATAAGCAAAGCATTCTACAACTTTCTAAGTGCTGTGTAAATCCCATTATTATTAAATGAATCTTTAAGAGTGAGAGTCAAGGAACGCACTTTGGCATAATAGGAAGAGGGCTAGAATTAGGGCAATCTGCTTCATCTCGCCTAGCCTCAATTTCCTTATCTGTAAAATTAATGGGCCACACTTCATGATCTCCAAAGTTCTTTTTAGGACTGAAATTCTAACAATTCAAATCATATTAATGTGTCAATAACTAATAGTCTCTTAACCTTCCCAGAGATATTAAATGCACATTTACATAAAGATATCTTAAATTGTTAAAATTAAACTCTCTCCACCCCTGCCCCCCACCTTCCTCCTTGTTTTATCATGGCCTGGAGGTGACTCTGGGTCCTTGAAGGACATGCATATAAACTCCAACAGGTCTGACCAAGCTGGAGAGGCTTTGAGTATGGGCACAAGCTGGAGATAGACACCCCCTTCTGGGACAGAGGGGTGAGGTCCGAATTGGGATTTAAATAAGTGTGAAGCAAAACTAGATTAGGCCAATATGAGTGCTTCTTCAGAGAGCCAAAAATCTAAGGGTTTTAGACAGGAATGAGAAACCAGTTACAGGCATTCAGGGGCCAGGGAACTATTACTGTCTCCCAGAGGCAAGATATAGGAATTACGTGTGGATATGTATAGATATGGGGTATAGGGAGGCTGATCCGCTTGTTCCCTGAATACACTCTTACATATATTCCCTGCCCTTCTGCTGTTCTGAGGTGCTGACAGCATAATGTCTGGATCTGCCACGTGCAGGCCTGATTCTACCGCACTCATAAGGCAAAGGGCTCAGAGAATGCTGCTTCCCCCAGGATGCTTACTGAGCCGTACGGCCATGGCTTGGCCATAGAAGGCACCATCCTGTGCTGGCTCCTATGTCCTTTCCTTCCTCCTGTACCTTAATGATCCCGTAGGTGTTCAAGGGGCAGCCCATTACTGATGTGAGTCAACAATTGGTCCACAAGCATTATTAAGTACCTACTTTTGTGTCCATCATTGAGCTGGGCTCTGGTTATTCTGAATAACATATTCTTCCTGATCATTCTAATTTAGGACGTTGTATGTATTGTCAGATGTCAGTTTTTCAAGTGAAAAGAAGTGATAATATAGAAAATTTCTTTAAAAAATTTTTTTTCAGGGACTATGATGGAAATGCTGATCTCCACGTTGGAATAACCAATACACGTGGTAAAATGAGTTCCTTATCTTTTCATTCCTGTTCTCCCAGGTCCAGTTAGGTTCAATTCTCCAAGTGTTTATGTAAGAATACCTCACAGGACCGAGCACCTTAATTGCATCAATTAATGTTCCTGGTGTTAAGCCCCTACTATGTACCAGGCATGGTGCTAGGTATGTAGGATACCCTACTGAGACAGAGGGGTGAGGTGAGGGGGCTCCCTAACCCTAAGGAGCTAACCGTCCCCCTCAAAGGAGGGAGGAAGAAATTTGTAACCCATAAATAGATGTTATACACGTGACAATTTGAGGAGGCGGAAAAGGACAGTGATAACTAGAGGGAGTCAGGAAAGGATCCCCACAGAAGGCTGCACACGAGCTGAGGCTTGAAGGAAGCTGGAGTGTAGTTTGGGGCATTTGAGCCTTAGTTGAATGGTTCCATTGTGTCTGAATCTTCTTGAACCCATTTGGGGTTTTCTTGGCAAAGATAACATTTCCTTCTCCAGCTCATCTTACAGATAAGGAAACTGAGGCAAACAGAGTTAAGTGACTTGCCCAGGATCACATAGCTAGTGAGTGCTGAGACCAGATTTGAACTCAAGAAGATGAGTCTTCCTGACTCCAGGCCCCTCATTCTATCCACTGTGCCACCTAGTTACCTACAAAATGGAGAACTAACACAACTCCCTTACCTAACATGAAGGGTTGTAATGAGGTACAAATGAGATAATATATGTGTAGCCAATGCTCCTTTCAAATGTGGGTCTGCTGAAAGCTACCTCAGATTCAAGATGTGTTTTGTGTAATCATTTATTCAGAACTGCCTCATGAGTCCTGATTAATGTTAGATAAAAATCTTGCATAAAACAATAAATGACAGGAGCAGCTAGGGGGCGTAGTGGGTAGAGCACCAGCCCTGGATTCAGGAGGACCTGAGTTCAAATGTGACCTCAGATACATAACACTTACTAGCTGTGTGACCCTGTTGCCTAGTATACCCCCCGCCCCGAAAAAAAACAATAAATGACAAGGAAAAAAATCTCATACAAATAGGTGCATACTGTCCCACATATTTCTGTAACTAGTGGCAGAAGGAATAATTTGTAGCTATTAAAGCCTAAAACTGCATTCAGACTTTTGGGATACCGTGTACGTGTGGTAGAGGGCACATGTATTATGGAATACAAATGGACAGGGTAGCTTAGATTTCTAGGGGATGTCTCAGCCAGAGCCTGGGAATTGTACAATGTATCAGCTGTTTCCCTGCAGAGCTGCTGAGGTCAGCTGCTGATCTGATGGTGTCACTGATCTGTAAACTGTGTTTCCAGCTGCCGATGCCTTTTGTTGGTTCTCCACAGAATTGCAAATGCTGTGTGACTTCTCCAGGGAAGGGTTTCAGCTCTTTTTAAAGCCTATAGCCCCGTGGACTATTTCACTTATTTTGTGAATCATACCCATAGCCACATCACAGCACCAGCCAGCCAAGTAGCCAAAAGCCCTTAGACTGAGGTTCTGTCTTTTTTGAACTCCTTTGCTTCTGCCTGAATTGTCACTGAGCTTAGACTGTGATTTAGCATGACCACATTCCTATCGAGTCACATTCTGTGTCTGGTTACTAGCCTGAGTCCATGCAAATTACCCCAGGACTTCACCTGGCCAGACTGTAAGGGTGAAGTGTAGCTGCAAATCTATCATACCTTCTTTACAGATATTACACTCACCTCTCTCCTTAAAATAGGTGAAAGCTTTTTTGGTAAAGCTTTTTTTTTTTTTGTAAAGGGTTTTTACTATGTGCCAGGCACTGTACTGTGCTAAGCACTAGATTTATGGATCCATAGTCTCACTGAAGTAGATTTGGGGGTCTTTTAATCATTGGGTTTTATCTTGGTGTAGACTATACTCATTTCTTAAAATATAATTTGCCATTCTTCCTTTACCACTTTCATATAAACAGCTCCAATGAATGCAAACCCAAGGATTAAATTTTTTAAGTCAGAAGGCAGGCAAAAGGTCTACCCACATGAGTACCCAATCAGACTACAGAATTAATAGTTCAAATTTGTTGTAAATTTTTTCTTTAGGGAAACTTGACAAACTTATCTACAAAGTAGAATTTATTCCAACTAAAGAATTTGGAGAGAGTCTTCCTTAAGCTCACTGTAGTTATGTACTTTTGGAGGAAAGCAGGAGCCAGCCACAGGAAGGGCCCTCTGGAGAGTTGTTCTTGTCTCTACTCAAGAACCTGGGACCCACTGATACCAGACCAATCCTTATTTGGGAAGCTTTTGTTTCCATATTAGAAAGTCTGATTATGTGAGAAGTGATGATTTTGTAGCTGCTTTTCCATGATCTGTTTCCCCTAAAGCAGAATTCATAATCATGTTCCTTGACCAGTTTGATTTTTTTTAAAAATAGGAATTGTGTATAATTACAACGAGCAAGGTGTCCACAGAGATGAAGTTGGGTGGGAACAGAGTATAAGTATTCCACTATTGCAGCCCAACATGTTTGGACTGATGGACCAATGGGATAAATATCTGGAAGACTTCTCTGCAACAGATGCCTGGTCTCCAAACAGGTATGTAGTTCCATAGGCCCTAATAGGATAACAAAACTATCCCCAGGTATTATGATTGCCAATAGCCACTTTTTGTGAAATGTTAGCAATTTCCCCAGGATTAGCAGACTTCTCCGTGATAGAAATGAAATGGGTCTTTATTCAATGAGTTTTAACTCACACAAGGAACGCGTGTGACAGGGTCACGAGAAAAGTGGTAACCAGCTATTCTGAGGACAGGGTATGCTTGCAACTCAGCCCAACACGGGGTGGTCTGGGCCTTGGGAAAGATGATTTTCAGCACAGGAAGGGGGTTGGTGATCCTGTAAGAGGGGGCGCCCCCTCCTGATCTGACGTCTGGATTCTTGTCTCTCTTTAGTTAGGTGCTGGGCAAGTAGGCTTGCCCACAATTGTTACACATAACATGTCTGTTCCCAGTGGAGAAGATTAGAGATTTTAAGGAAGAGGTGGAGTTTTAGCAGGCATGTCTGATGGATTTCTCATTAGGCAGGGAGGTGACATTTAGTGAGGCTAGAAGTTTCTAGTAAGAAAGATTCTGGACGTTGAGGATTCCAGAAAAGGGGCAGGGCAGGCACAACATAAGTGGTCATGTCTGGAGCAAAGATGACCTGTCATAAGAAAGATGAGACCCCCAGAGCACAGGTTTTTAGGCTACCAGAGTACGTAACGAAATTCCAACTGGGGCTACATAATTTGGGCCAGTGACTTTTCTGCAAAGCCGATTAACATGAAAGCAGGATAGGTGAACAAAACCACAACCTGAACATTTCAGATTGAATTAAACTTTGGTGGGGGTGGGGAACTTCACAAAGATCAAAATCACAGAAATTACTGTTCTCTTCTATTTCCAGGCAAATTTCTCAAGTAGTGGTCTTCACACACTTGTACACACTAATATGTTCATTTCATGACCATCACCCCTGCTACCTTCCTTTCATCTATATGAATTTTAAAACTTACCATGAATTCAGAGAAGCAGCCTAATAATACAGAGTAAAAAGCATTAGCTCAGAAGTCAGAGACCTGGGTTCAAATCCCACCTCTGAACCTACCTGTGTGAACTTAATCACCCTCATCCACAAAAAGGGGGGGGGTCAGACCAGAAGATATTTGAGGTCCCTTCCAGTTCTAAGCCTATGAAATAAATTTTGTTTCTGAAACATTCCTTGAAATAAATGGGACCACTCTAGACAATCACCAAAGCAAAGGAGAGGGAATGGAAAGGGCATTGCTTTGGGAGCTCCAAGTCCTTCCACTAACTGTGTGACCTTGGACAAGTCTCTGTATCTTCCTGAGTCCGTTTCCTTAACTCTCAAAAACTAAATTATTTCCAGGGTCCCTTTAAGTTCTAAAATCCCATAGTTAGGGGCAGCTAGGTGGCGCAGTGCATAGAGCACTGGCTGTGGAGTCAGGAGGACCTGAGTTCAAATGTAGCCTCAGACACTTGACACTAGCTGTCTGACTCTGGGCAAGTCACTTAACCTCATTACCTAGCAAAAAAAAAATGCATAGTTAGGATCTGTAGATGATTAATATAATTTAGGCTAGGAATCATAGTACTACAATCAGGCATTGAATTATTAAGTTAAAACTTAACTATAGCTTCCATTTACATGGGGCCTTTAAGGTTTGCAAAGCACTTCCCATGTATTAGCTCCATTAGTCTTGTAATGACCCTGTGGGTCAGTGCTCCTGCTCTCCCTATTTTTGAGGTGAAGAAACTGAAGCTCAGTGACAGTTAGCTCAGGGTCACACAGCTAATAAATGTCCAAGGTGGGATTCAAGCCCACCCAGCTCTTCTGACTCCAGGTTCAGCTTGCCATGATGCTATTATATATATCTGTCAGAAGAAGTGTATAGTTTATGTGCCTGCTCTCCAAATCTCAACTTTCTTTCCCCTTTAATTGTTCACTCCTAAGCATGGAAAAACAAATGGAAGTCAACCAGTACTTTTATGACCACCCTGGCTAGGTTTAACTTCAACACACCCCTAAAAGCATTTGGGAGGGAAGTAGGAAGGACATACCCAAAAGTTTAGGCCAGTGATTTCACAGTACCTCAGGATGGCTTTGCCCTTGTCACCTATAAAATTCCTTAAGTGACTGAATTTGTTTTCAAAGGTATGAAGAACATTGCCACAATTGTTATACTTATGCCCTGACATTCATTAATTATATACTGACTTCAGAGGGGAAGCATCAATTGGACAAAGATGAATTCACCGAGAAATTTGTGGTACCAAAGACAAGGAGAGCTTCTAAGTATATCACTCTCTATCGGGCAATAGAAGAACATGGGTTCTACATTATTGATCACCTTGATTCAGATACAAATCTTCCTTAGGGGAACAATTTATGAATGAAATTTTGAAATGCACTATGTCAAGAAAGGAGATGAAGTTTGGAGAGCTGCTATACAAGGGATCGATTCCTGAACTTTTAGTCTTCTCTACATTGGGTTGTCATGGCTGAAAAATTCACTACCTGGTGGCCAGCCTACTGGTGATAGGGCTTCTCATAATCAGCCAGTCTAGTCCTCAGACATAGTTCATCACCAGTACCATACTGGAAATCTTTTCTGCATAACGTGGCATGGCATAACTTGCCAGAAATCTTGCTTCTTTGGTCTGTCCTTCAAGAATCTAGAATAACTTCCCTGCCATGATGAAGTTATTGAGCTTAATCTTTATTTTAAATTGTATTGATGATGTTTATATTTATTTCACACTCATTCCTGGATGTACTCCCCCCCCAAGCACTGAATCTTACTGTAAAAAAATAAGTTATATTTTTGTTTCTTTTGTGTCACTATAGTATCCCATGTATTCCTCCTCCACCCATACTAAGCACCATCCCATGTGATGGATTTTTTTTAGAGAGAGAGAAAAAACACAACTGATTGATATGTTGAAAAAGTCCTAAACCAGGTGCAATGTGTAACACCTCTGGACCTCCCACCTTCACAAATGGGTAGATTGGGAGTGGGGGGGTGGCTTCTCCTATCTCTTCATTTGATTCTGAATCCTTTAACAAATAAAAACAGTTAAGCAAAAAAATCTATGTAATATTCTTATCTGAAAGTGTATGTATGATTCTTTTCCCATAGCCTCTATACCTTTCTGCCATGAGGAGAAAGATACATTTCAAGAGTGTGACTGGAAACCATGCAGTTTCCAAGGAATCAAAATTATGGGTCAACCAAAGGGAAAGACAAATAGGCATAAATAGCCTACAACATATTACCAACATCAAATTACTCACAAGAAGTGGCATTAAAAATTATCAGAGAGATGTATAACTGGAAAGGAACAGGGCTGCTCATGAATCAAGAGGAGGGGATAAAGGATAACTCTGTTATACTGATATCTATGCAATATCAAGAGCTCTAAAGGAAGTCCATGTTGGCTGGAGCCTCTGTGGAACATTTGTAGTAGGGCATGCACAAGATGGAAAGAAGTAGATAGGCTGGGTTCTGCACCACATCACCGAAGTCACAGATTCACTGATGTCTTTCAGTACTGAAATACAGGCATTGTGGCTAGTGAAAATGTCCCAAATATCAGCATTTTTCATTTCACATAACCCAGTATCAATTCTCTCAGATCACCATAACCTCTTTTCCTCCTATGCTTTACTAAAGTTTCTAACTGATAAAATAATTAAACTTGCATAGCAACTACGAACATTTAAATTAGTTTCAATGCCCAGACTCACAAAATACTTTTTCACTCCCTCATCTCCAATTTCTCACCAGGATTGTTTGTCCATTCATTCAATCTTCCTCATTCCTCCAATGTTTTTAGCATTATTTTTATGCAGATTACTGCTTAATCTATAGAGTCTAGCTAGCTCTAATCTCCCCTAGAACGCCCTGTCCTAAATCTCTAATTGCCTAAGCATCTCTATTGGAATGTCCTTCTGGTACTTTTATCTCAACATGTCCTACACTAAACTCACTACCATCTCCACTAAATCTGCGTCTCCTACCCAACCTTCCTACTCTCCTCACAATCAGGATTAAAGCCCACGTCATTTATCCTCCTTAAATTAACTTAGGCACTTAGCTATTTTATACTGCTGCAACTTTTTTGGACTATTTGTTCCCATACACATCTCTAGAAGAACTTTGAGAGTGCTTTGCCAACTTTTCTGGCTGAGAAGGACATTAAAGAGCTTGTTAACTTACTTTGGTATTTTCATTCCCTATCTAGTTGAAATACTTTGTTATGGTGAGTACCTCTTTTCAGATATGAGACTTGTGGAAACTAATTCAATTAAGTTAGTATTCTGAGGGCACCCTGTGGCTGGCTGTCCCCTTTGGTGTGGTAGTATGGTTTAAATGAAGAAGCAGCGGACTTGGAGGCAAAGGATCTGGGCTTAAATCCTGGCTCTGACAAGCTGGGTGACATCTGGTTAATCACTTAACCCAGATTAGTAATATCTGAAATGCCTGTTCCTCGAGGGGCACAGAGTGAGGAAGGCCCTTGCACAACAGAGAACTTTTTATTTTTGTGGGGCCCAGCTTAGCATAGAGGATGGGAAGCTTGATTTGAAATCAGAAAGACCTTGGTTCAAGTTTTGTCCCTGACACCCACTGAGTGTGTGACCTTGGGCAGGTCCATGAATCTTCTTGTTACTACAGGCACTCTCTCAGATGACAAGTTACCGAAGAGCTGCTGGCTGGCATTGGAAAGAAAGCTTCGTCACCTAGTGTTCCCTACACTGATTAATCATAGGTCTAGTTAAAAGTAAAATGACCGCTTAATGTTCTCTAGAACAAAATATTATGTTAGTTCTATACACCTCCCATAACACCAAGACGCTTTGTGGTGTGGAGAGAAAAAAAATGGAGGAATCCCAAGACCTGGATTCTCATTTCACCTCTGCCACTCATTTGCTCTGTGACCTTGGGGAAGTAATTTTACTTAACTGGGCCTCAGTTTTTCATCTGTAAAATGAGAGGTCTGCACTAGGACATCTTCAAGGTCAAGTTCTGATATTCTGTGGCTCCAAGTAAGATGAGAGAATTACAGAATTTTCCAGGGAGGAAGAGTCTCCTATTTGATAGAGGAGGTCTCTGAGGCTTGAAGAAGGGAAATGACTTGCCCAAAGCCAGCACATTAGTGTAGAGACCAGAACCAGAACCTAATTTTTGGATCTTAGGAATCCAGGATTCCTCTTACTCTCAGCATCTAAAGCTCATGTTTCTAAGATATTAACATGACCTTTATGTTGTTGGAATATTACAAAGAAAAGATCGGGCGCTTTTATTTTTTTAATTAATGATCATGATGTTATTTTTACCTTGCCCAGGCCTGGGCACATAATTGGTATTCAGTAAATACTTGTTAGTGAATTAAGAATTTGGATTTTTGGCCTGTGTGTTAAATTTCCTCTTGGTCACTTCGCTCTCGAGAAGAAACCCAACGACTCAGGATTACTTCCTGAAATTAAAAAGACCAAAAAACCTCCATCAATCAATCAATCAATCAATCAACTGACAAGCACTTACTATTGTCTACCCTGTGCTAGGTGCTAGGAATACAAAGACAAAATGAAACAATTCTTTTCCTGAAATTTACATTCTACCAGGGGAGGCAACACGTACATTCATGAGCATGTACGAAATAGAAATACACACACAAGGGAAATTTTTAGGGAAGAGAACATTGGCAGCTGGGGAATTACGAAAAGCAGAGATGCTGAGATTGTCAGCTACCCATAGTTTTGGAGGAAACATGGGATTCTAAGAGGACCTGGGAGAAGACAGTGCCTTCCAGGCATAAGAGAGAGCTGGTGGAATAGCAAAGGGGGAAGTAGATGTCACGGAGGAGGAAGAGCAAGGTCCGTCTGGCTGGGCTGTCGAGGGCAGGAAGGGGATCGATGAAAAGGGAGGTTGGGGCCAGGCTGTGAGGGGTTTTCAACATTAAATACAGGATCTTGGAGTTGATCCTGGAGGCAAAGGAAACCATTCACACTTACTGAGCCAGGGAGTAACATGGTCAGATCTGCCACACAGATAATCACTTTGGCAGTGAGATGGATGATGGACTAGAAAGAGGGAGGAAAATTAGGAGGCTACTGCAACAGTCCAGGCAAAAGGGGATGAGAGCCAGAAACAGGGTGGGAGGCTGTGTGAGAGTAGAAAGGGGGCTAGATTCCAGAGATGACATGTAGATGGAAATGTCAACATCTGGCAAATGATGAGAAACGTGGGGCAAGAGAGTGAGGAATCAAGGATGACACGGAGGTCATGAACCTGGCAAGCTGGGATGCCAGCGGTGCCCTCAAGAGAATCAGGGACATCTGTAAGGGCGATGAGCTCGTGTATGAATATAATGAGTGTAATTCTGGACCTGCTGAGTTTGAGATGACTACGATACACCCAGTTTAAAATGTCCAACAGGCAATTGTATATAGCTGACTGGAAATCAGTCAACTATTAAGCCTTCCTCCCCACCAAAACATAATCACGACAAAACAAAACAAAACAAAAACCCACAATAACCCTACAAATATTTTGCATGTTCCTATCTTTAGTTGTACTTTCACTAGAATGAGACTAGTTAATGCTCTCAAACATGCTGACAACCTGGCGCTTTTTAAGCAACGGCCTTTATAAGACTAGGACATGATTTCGTGAGCGGCAGCTTATCCTTGAAGGGAACGAAAGAATGCTCTGCTTTGTTTATATTCCTTGAATGGGAACAAGTGACAAAACAAATTCAGTGAAAAAGCGATCTGCCGTGCAGTGTGTGCTCACTGCAGTGAACTCCTGGTGCTTGTCCGGCCCCGATCCAGGGAGCTCCGCCTTCTCAGAAAGAGTGCTAGGGCTACGAAAGCCAGCACTCACTCCTTCTGAGCAGAAATAATAGTGTGTCTATTATAAAAACAGATACATTATGTAATACAGAGTTAACTTTCCAATATCAGAGCTAAGGGACAGCTAAGTGGAGCAGTGAATACAGCACTGGTCCTGGAGTCAGGAGGACCTGAGTTCAAATCCTGAGCAAGTCACTGAACCCCAACTGCCTCAAAAACAAAAAACTCCAAAGCCCCCCTGAATATCAGAGCTAAAATATGGTAGCATTAACGTAGATCACATAACATGGTAGAGAACCTTGCAGGAGTTTCACTAGTTGCCACGGCACTGTGTGCCTGTGTATCTTATAAAGAAGATACGACTTCATCTTCAGTTAGTTTACAATACCAACAGGAAGAACAAAGTTGGAAATCATTTGGTGCAGAGAAAGGGACTCAGTAAAGGTCGCAGAGAAAAAAAAAACAGATGCAGCCCAATAATGTAATACCAAAGAAGTCAAAGAAAATTAATTTCAAGAAAAAAAGAGTGGTTTGACAGCGGCAAACATAAGGAGAAAAGTCAAAAGGAGTGAGGGCTTAAGAAAAGGCTGCTGGGTTTGACAAACTGTTTATCAACAATCTTCACAAGAACAGCTTTAGGAGAAAGAGGGGCATGGTTGGGAGCCAAATTTCAGAATGTGAGTGTTGAAAAGTATGATGAAGATATCTTGGCAGTAGATAGACCCTATCTGTTCAAAGGGTCTGGCAAAAGAAAAGAGTATAAGAAGATAAGCTGGAAGGACTGAAGTTGGGGAAGATCCACAGAAGTTTAAAGGCAGAAGGGAAAGACGCACTGGAGAGAGATCCAAGAGGCCAGAAAAGGAAGGCTGGTTTTCTATTTCTGCTAATCTCCTTCAACAAGCAGAAGCTTCTGGATGATAATCTGAATCTGAATCAGCTCACCTGAACTTTCATTCTTTTCAGACATTCCGGTGATTCCATTTCCTTGTCAGTCATATTAGACGGTCTAATCAAATAGCATAACAGAAGCTCCTGTTGAAAAACAAAACAAACTCCACAACTTAAAAAGAATCCAATTCGTTACAAACATAGATGATTCTATTACAAAAACAGGAAGTCTCTCCTTTTCATTCATCACAATGTGTTTATGGACCTTGTTGTCATAAAAGGGAACACTCTACAATGAATCATAGGAACAATGTTAAATTGGGGGAATGTGTTCCTGGCCAAGAACCTGACATCAAATAAACTATATCCATGACAAGTAGTATGTCACAAAACCAAAGATATAACAACTATAAATATCCATGATGATTTGAAACAGCAAAATTGTGCTCCAAATCCTAAAAAAAAAAAAGGAAAAAAAAAAGAGGAATTAAATATGCCACATGCAGTGACTTCCCTGTATCAAGCATACTTCAACAACAGATCCATGGCCTCACTGAGGAAGGCACTGCCTCCAGTCGTATAGATCACTACTCATCCACACTGTTTAAAAACATCCTGTGCAATGTTAGTCCATGTCCACCCATAAATTCTATTTTAAACTTTCATTATGTTTCTGACAAACATCATCAAACATGAGCATTTCCACACATGAAGACCAGAAAGAGGACTGTATATGAAATCACCTATCACATTCAGCTTGAATTTTTAAAAAATATAAAAAAATCAACATTCGTTTCAAAGCTGTCCTGCTTGTCTAGTTTCCTTCTGTTTTCTTTGGTGCATTTTTAAAACTCTACAGTGACTCTTTTCTTGGCATTCCAATTGCTAATCCCTTTTTTCCCTTCCCTTCATTGTCCCAGTTCACTATCCATCTGCTTTGTCTGTCATTGTCTGATATTTGTAGATATGGACTGACCAAATGGGCTATCCATTCAACTTCAGGTCACCGTCCAGAAAATAGGTATTCTTCATCCATTTGGTTTTTCCTGTATTGATCGTTAAGCTGGTGTCTTTTTGACTGGTCATTAATCTCAGAGATGGCATTGTAGAATTCTGGGGCTTGATGCAAAGGCAAAATACCATCTAGAAACGTGAGCATATGGAGAACTTCACTACCAACAGGGAATTGCTCCTCTGTTAAGCCTCTCCATAGGGAATTCCTCCATGACCATAATAAAATGGCATTTGTATGGATTTGTCTTTCTGTTCTATGCTTAGTTTGATTCTGGTAATCTATGTATCACTGAACAAAGTCCTGTGTCATTCAATCTATCCAGGAATCTCACATGATCTTAACATACTCAAGAATTACTTTGTTGGAAGAGAGTCTTTTAAAGCTGTATACTTTGCTCAAGTCAAGTGCCTTTTTTATAAATCAATAAACAATTAATGGGGTGTTATTTTCTTTTGACTTCAGTTAATAGTGTGCCTGTGAAGATGTGGTCTGCTGCAGAATAGTACTTGTGGCCTGCCTGTTTCTTTTTCAGGTTTTCATCGTAGATACTCTTTCTACACTTGTAGCTTATGCTGAAAACTTTTTTTTTAAAGAGAAAACAGACATGCGTTTGTGTTGTAGGGCCTGTTCAGTTACAACTACTATAATTCATTTTATAGTGTTTGTGTTTGCTGTGACTCTTCTTATGATACATATGAGATTGCGTCTAATGTTTGTTAATTGATTGTTTCTTAGAAGTTTTGTAACTACCAGAGCTATCTTTCCTCCAGTAATGTAAACAAGTTTATATTGATATAGAATGTAAAAATACATATACACATTTCATAATATACCTTGTTATATTAAGAGTTGAGGCCTTTCCCCCCCTCCAACTTAGGATCCTTGCTCACTGGAAATTATTTCTGCCCCCTAGATAATCTGATTAAGTATTCATATGTAGAATCTGAGTAGAAAAGTTTAAGTCCTGGCTCCTCCTCTCCCTCTATATTCTCTCATTTGGTGACCCCATCAAATCTCATGGGTTTAGTTATTATCTATGTGCAGATGACTTAGAGCCCCAGTATCTCTCTTGAACTCTAGTCCCTTACTACCCACTGCCTATTGGATATTTTGAACTAGATATCCCATAGGCACCTCAAATTTAACATGCCCACAAAAAACTAATTACCTTTTCCCCAAAATCTATTTTTCTTATGAACTTCCCTATTACTATAGAAGAGGGCATTATCATCCTTTTAAGCACCTACATTTATAACCTTATTATTCTCGACTCTTCATTCCAGCTCATCCCACATATCTCTAATCAGTTGCCAAATCTTGTCTCCACAATCTCTCTTATATACGTCCCCTCTTCTCCAGTCAAGCAGCCCCTGCCATAGTTCAGATCCTCAACACCTCTCACCTCCTATTTGGTCTCCCTGCCTCGAATCTCTCCC